AAGTCACAGCTTTCCCCTTTTAACACTACATATAACATTTCAGCAGCTCACTGAAGGGTTTAAACTGACCAAGGGCCTCTGTCTCCACTGTCCCTGTGAGGGCTCTCCACAGTATTTCACCCAGGCCCTTCACCCTCCATCCTGAGGCCTGAGCTTCCAGGGGGGGAGCGCCATGCCATCTCCCAGAACGAGGGTTTATCAGGGTCTCATAAACTCTCACAGGAGTCAACTCTTTGCCAACACAGAGCCAATTCCACCCAGGGCCTGAGGACTCCACCAATTCATCCAACCCTTTTTCCCACTGCCATCCTGGGATTCCCTCAGCCCTTCACTCCCTGCCAGCTTCTCTGTGTCATGTCTGTTACTGAGCAGCCCAGAGCCATGCCACACCATAGGTCCCCCAGCCTCACCAGCCTGCCTTCAATCTCAGCTCATGCTCCTGTGCTCACACATGGGGACATCTCCCCGGGAGCAGGACTTCTCCCCAGGAGCCATGTGGCTGCTCACCACAGTGCCCCCTTCACTTCTCCAGATGAGAAGGGATGCCATCGGTGCAGCTGCTCAGCCTGGCCCAGGGGGTTGACAAGGTTGATGGGCACTCACCAGACCTAAGCCTTGTCTTGAAGCCAACCCACGTCCAGCTCTCAGCCTTCCCTGCTCCCGGCATAGCAGGGAGCTCAGCAGCTCTCTATGGCCACTGGCTGTGGCCCTGGCTGGGCTCCCAAAAAGGGCTGAGGGACACCCGGTGCTGTGAGCAGGGAGGCTGGTGGCCTGCTAGCCTAATTTGATAGATGTCGTAGAAGGTTCACTGACCACAGGCAGAGGTAGCTGCCATGGCTGAAGCCACCAGTCCTACAGATCATTTGTTCACAGCATGGAAGCCTGTGGTGCTGGAAATGTGTTCTGCTCATACTGGGGAAAAAGGGTTGCAGTTCCATCTAAAGGAAAAAGGGAGTGAAGGGAAGAACCCCAAAACACTAAACTGCAGTCCTAAACCCATAGTTCTCTGTAGTTTTATGTACATTAAAATTCATGATCATTAAGTCTGCAAGAAGTGAAATGAGCAGCATGGCAAATTCATAAATCTGTGGAGGGATACTTTGTAGAAGGGTGTTAAGTGTCTCAGCATGAGATCTTTATTAGGATAAAAAGTTATTAAAAAAATCCATGCTAAGAGAATTCAGGCCATGGTCCTTTATCATTATAAGCAGTTTTACCAATGACAAAAGCAGTAACAGAAGCTGAGCTGCCTTCTTAAGCCTCACTGAAAATCCTGGGACAGAATATTGTACTTCCTTGTATTTTCCCATTGCAGCTGGTACAAAAAGGCAACTTGAATTCTTTTTCCCTTTTATTTAAATAAGCTGTTTTGTTCTTTGTTTCACAACAATTCTGAGCAACCTATGGTTAATTGATATGTGTAATTTATAGCTGTCATACTTCCCCTCCTCCACAGTAACTCAGTTACCAGCAGTATCCTTGACAAAATGCTTGTGAAGAATAATACATTTGAAGTCAAATGTTATCTGCTAATTGACAGGATGGTTTCAACAATGTAACCTTATCTTATGTAAATAAACTTCTAAGGAAACTTTGAGCTACAAAGGGCAAATGAGATGTTTGAGATTCCTTTTTGCTGCAGGTCTTGTTTTGATAGAGCATTTCAATAGCAAAGGCTAAATGTGAAAGAGAATGAGACAAAAAGAGAGGCTCAGTTCCCTCTGTTTATATTTGTTCCTAACTCAATGTTTTTCATAATAAGAAACAAAATCTTGAGGGTATCTTTATTGTGGTAGAAAAATTGAAATAAAAAATCTTATTTGAAAGCAAGTAATATTTTAATGTTTCTAGCATTTTCCCTTTAAATTCTTCTTTAGATTTTGAATTAGTTTTTACTCTTCAACACAAAATTGACAAAAACAGCTGAAAATCAGGTTCTTTAACATACAATATAGTGTTAAGTTACAGATTGGAAAGTTGTTAATAATGCTCACATTAAAATCAAAGATAGAAATACTGTACGCTGACTGTGAGACTCCACAGGCATGTGAAAAAGCAGTGAGAAAGAGGTGAAGCAGTCCCAGGAGAAAGAAGATGATGGAAGGAAGAGAAGCTCTGGCCCAGTATATGGATCTGAGGAACGAAAGAGACAGCCCTGGAAATGGACTGCAAACTTGTCAAACACATGTAGCTGTTGTTCGTATCAGGCCCTGACCCTGTCTCTAGACGCTATTCAAGGATGCTAGAATGCAGTGACCCAATTAAGTGCATTGCACTTCTGTAAAATAATTTGCTTTGTAAGCATAGCTGACCTCAAAACAGATGTGGTAATAAGAACTTAAAGTGCACAACTGAAGTTTGTTTTCTGAAATTCCAGTTAAGTCCAGGGTCTATGTCTGTACAGAGATGTAACTGGAAGACATTCCCACATGTGCAAACTGTTACCTCAACTTACTTGAACATGAGCTGTTTACTCAATACTGATCTGTTTTCAAGGGGAGGGAGATCTTCAATCATACAGGGAAGACATCTTCATTACAAAAGATAAATCATATTGTGAGATGTGATTTCAAACAAGACGAGCAATAATTTTGTTATAAATGTCGCAAAACCTGCACAGCTCTAAGCACTTTGATGTTAAAAGGTGAGTGGAGAGGGAGGAAAGAGTTAAAAAATTGCAGTGATTGCAATGTGCTGAGCATTGAAGAAACCCAATTTCCAAAAGCCATGGCTTAGCCCTTACCAGCAAGGCCAAATCTGATCCCTCTGGGTGGTCATAGCAACCAAAGCCTGGAGCCCTCTCTGGCTGAGTCTTCACATCTAGCTTCCAAAACACTTCCTTTGCTATCTCAAGCTGTGATCTGATGAATTCATTCCAAGCAGGATTACTGAAGAAGTGAGATTATTTATTAAGTGATCTTGCTAGGTCTTCTCTGAAAAAGTCTTACAGCTTATAAAAATGGCATCTTCCCACTCTTAATGCAGAAAGACATATCCTTTCAAGGGCAGATTTCAGTAATTTTCTGACTGGCACCTATATGACCTTTGATGAGCATAAATTCTTTGTCCCATAGCCTATCCAGCTTGTGTCGGTCCTGTGCAGAAACAGAGGAAAATAAATGACATGTGGTGCTTAGGTGATACAACAGCTTTAAGGGACGGAGTATCCTTAAATGCACACCATGCTAAATTCTCTGTTGCTCAGTTTCCTAAACTGGACATGAACTCCCCTTTTAGATGGGCCAAATATACTTGGGAAGCTACCAATTTGCTAGTGCTGTAGTGAACATTGTTATGTGGCCGACTGAGCTCTTATAAATCTGTTTGGGATTCCATCCTGATTACTGCATGCAAATGCTCTTACACCATTCTGTCTAGGACAAAGATCGGAGGGACCACACAGAAGCAATGATCCATCCTTTCCACCTAATTGTTGCTTGTGGTGAAGGGAAGACGGCCAGATAGGGTGTCGCTTCTCACAGAACGACAGCCTCAGCTTAGTAATGGCCTTCTCTTAAGACTCTTAGATTGATGACTGACTGACTCCAGATGAGACTCACAGGACTCATCCAAAGTCTATTGCAGTAAAAGTCCACAAAAGAGTCCTGGACCTTAGTTTCTAGTAATAAAAAAATAATAAAAAAGTCAGCAAAATAACCAAGGCCTGTTCAGTATTCTACAGACGGTATTTACAAGTCTGTCTCATGGATCAGATACATTTAGAGAGAACAGAGATTTTACTGATGAAGGGATATATTGAATCGTGGGGTATAGCAAGATAAATCAGAGAAAGGATAAGCAGAAACTCAGGTAAAAATGGTGTCCAATGAAAGATAGCCTCCTCAAGAAATAAACTGAAAAAGTATAACAGAGAATTGCGACAGCAGGGTTGGCACTAGAAGGAAGTTCTAGGTGTAGGAAGAGTGCATTTTAGAAGACTGAAGGGAGTTTTGTGTGCCAGGAATTCTGCAGTCAGCATGGGTGATGTTCAGTATAAAGTAGCAGAAGCAGGAAAGGAGAGAAACACAAGAGCATCTGTTTCAGTGCATGCAGTTTGTTGTTATAATCCAAAACACAGTTGCTCCAGGGGAAAAGAATAATACTCAAAACTGAACAATTGTGGGAAACCTATCAGGTAATAATTTGCAGTGTGAATGTATGGGGGAAGCATCAACAGAGTTTTGGAATCACAGAGAAAACTGTTATTACACTGTGTAATTTAGTAAGACGATTCAACCTTAAATTTATAGTCTGTAGGGCAATAAAGCTTCTTGATAGGTGGAAATATCAGTACCTTTGAAATAGGCAGGTTTTTTAATCCTCCTTAGTAAACAGAAGAAGAAAAAAAAATTACTAAATGCCTTGTCAAAATATTTAATTTAATTAAATCTAATTGCCTTAATATCTTATTAATAGTAGTAGAAAGATTATTTTCATTAAAACAGAAGCTAAATTTTAACTTATTCTAGAGAAACAATAAATATTTAATTGGACTTGATCAGAGATTTCAATACAGGATATTTTAACTGCATCAGGTAAGAAAAGAAGCATCTGTCAACAACAGTCATCTAACCACCAGGTCTTCTGAAATGACTTTGTTCTTTATATTTACAGCTTCGGATAAACTTCAGATGAAACCTTAAAAGCTCAATGCAAGAAGGACATTTTATTGTTATTGTTGACTGACTGGTAATGAAATCATTCCAAGAAGTACAGGATAATTTGCTGCCATTAATTTCATTCTTGATCTACATTTATTGCTTAGGCTAAAATATTACTCAATAATGTACATGATCATATTTTTGACTCTTCCTTTTCCTTATTGTTTCACTTATATATGACAAACATTGCTGCTGCCAAAGACAGAATTCTGGCATAACATATAGATGTTACTTGAAAGAAAATATCTAATATATATTTCGATGCATCTGATGAAGCAAACATCAAGCATACAGAATTCTAGCAACCGTAAGTCAGGGAATAGACAACCATACCATGGGTATCATTCTTAAAAGCTGCAGTTTTATTTTACTAAATTATCTATGTTAAAAACAAATCTGTGCCTGGTGTGGAATTTCACTGCATCAAGTGTTACAATATTTTTGTTTTCATTACAAGCAAGAGAATGCATGTAGAACAAGTGTTAAGAAACATGACAATAAATTAGAATATAATTTACAAAAGCAAAAAATAATAATAATAAAGTAACAGTGTACCACATTAATACTGAGTATAAAATAATAAGCAACTAATCACAATAATACAAAGGTAATTTCAGTCTGTATTATTAAGGATATCTATGTGACATTCACTCCATTACAAAGTTCCTAATAAAATGGACTATTTTTGGGTGTATACACCTTGAGGGGTTAATCCATAGATTATTTTTGTTTTGATCTTCTTCAGCTGATAGTATTGCTCAGTGGAAGTACTGGCACCAGATTGATTTCTGCATTTATTATTCTACTATTTGATTCTAGGCCTTTCATATTTATAGCCTACACAAATAGTCCTATTGTCACTAGTTAGGAATATAACACTATTTAGCTTAGATTATATAGATGGCTACAGCGTAGCAGCAGCAATGAACTGTGCTGTGGAAACCAATTATTTTTCTTTGAAGTAGGTTTCATTTGTCAGTCTTAGTCTGAAGTGTTGCTTAGTTTGTAAATCCACATACATTCTGTGTTTTGTTCCCTTTAACAATATGATTCAATGTTGCTCCAGGGAGTTCTTTAAATTCCAGCCTCAGTGCTGTTATGTTGCAGAGTAAACATGGGACTCCCTAGTGTTCTAGCACCAGTAAGAGAGCAAAATGTGTCTTTGGAAACACTCCTTACAATTTTCCTAAGTGAGGTAAAAAAAAAAAAAAAAAAAAAAAAAAAAAAAAAAAAAAGTTTATTTTGAATACATTAAAAAACCTTTTCTTATTAGCTGAAAAGACACATTATCTTATAAACACAGTCATGCCCTGGAGAAAACTGGACCCTGACACAGAGAGGCTTCTTGTTTAAAGAATGCCATAGTAACGCCTTTCCCTTTTATCATATTTTTGGCCTAACCAGGGCATGCTAGCACCAAGGTGTTTTGTCAAAAGGATACAGAAAGTCAATTCACTTAACAGAGAAGGACTACATACTGCCCTTAATCCATATGTGCAACTCCCAAAGGCTGTTTACTGGTGTCAGTTTTAGCAGGAGTTGTTTACACGGTGATGAGAGCAGCAGATAAGCATATGTGAATACATGCAAGCCAACTGAAAATTAATTCCACTGGTCTCAGGTGTAAGGAAGTGAAAATACTGGCAAGAGGTAGCAGATGACAGAACTTTGATGGTCATGAGTACGTGGGTTGCACAAAACCCCACTGATAGATTGTCAATATGTTGGGGGGATTTCATAGTATGAGTCCTGCTAACAACATCTACTACTCCATGCTAATTCACATTAGTAGATAGCGTGCAACACATCTGGCTTGTTCTTGGTAAAATACATTGATACACTTCAATCTCATGATATTTTGAAATTATTTTTCACTGAAAAGAGTACTTTCTTAAAAAAGTGCTATTTGAGTTAGAATTTGTAACACATTATTGTTCACATAATTTTAATTGCACTACAACAAAGGAGGCATAGTTTGACACAAAAGCACATTCATCAAGTACCTGCTGCAAACTGCAAGTGTTCAAGTACAATATATTAATATAAACAAGTACCCACTTTCCTTATCTCCTTGTTGAGTCTTGCTATTGAGAGTGAAGGGGAAGAGGAGCACTACACTAAACGTTTTTATGGTAGATTCTTGAATGTGACTTGCCTAAGCAGTCTGGTTTCACATTTAAAAATGCAAAGTAATTGGTGAATATTAAAAATATGGTAATATGGAATAAGTGGAGTATGACAGCAGAATAATTGGAATAGCTAGAAATATATTGGCATCTAGCTATGAATCCAGAGGCAGGACTTCGTTCCAGTCTCACACTGAAAGCTGCCTCAAGCTTTAAATATGATCCAGCTTTAAATGGGTACTTGGCCATTTAGGTCAAGGTGACCAGACTTCATTCTAGCCACCCCTTTTCCAGTGTGCCTTACTCCTGATAGCCCAGTATGCCTTTTGGCTCAAGCACACTCGACTTCTCATTTGCAGAACCTACATATCCCCAAAAATCTTTTATCTTTGGTTGTAATCCTTGTCCACTCTGATGTGGACTCCTGAACTGCAGACTCGCATATTCTTTTTGAAAAAAAATGCTCTTCCACTATGGTATCAAAGAAGGGAACATTTGAAATCCATTTTAACTTCCAGCTTTGTAAAGAACTATTGTTATTACACAGTAGGCTTATCGTTTTGCACTATAACTTCTTGGTATTGGAGAATCAAAAGTAATGCATAAAATGGACATAGATGCTGACAAAGTTGTTTCTTTGTGGCTAGTGATGTAAACAAAAGTGAGCTGAAGTCAAAATCTTAAATTCTACGCAAACTGCACAGTAGCAGTGAAAGAGCTGGCCATATGGTCTTCACCACTATTGGAGTACCACTCCTCCATGGTATTGAAATATGTTCCCTTTTAGTAGAAATCTCAGCTTTGCTTGTACAATGGTAAGATGGCTATAAACCTGCAACACAGATTTCATTTCATTTCATAGCACACTTGTATTTCATGCACCACTGCAATAACTGTTGCACCTCTTAAAACAATGTCCCTCATGGTTGTTCTATTGAGTATAGTTTTATATATGGCTCACAGCAGTGTTCAGGAAATATGGATTACTCCAAAGGGAATTAGATGGAATGAAGGAAAAATACATTTAAAAAAAAAATCTGCTCCTTAAATAACAATTCCAAGCTCATTTTATAATTTAAATTGTGGTGCTGTGTCGTGAGATAAAATAGTTAACATTTTTAAGCTATGACTTAACATTTTTTTTGATTCTTCTTTACTTCCATAGTAGACCAAGTCATAACAGCTACATTTTAAACAGTTTTAAATACAAATGGATTCAGTGTCATTGCTAAGTCCATAATAAAAATTATTTTAATGGTCCAAGGAGGTAAACAGACTATTGGATTTAGTCAAAAGAACACAAATGTTCCACAGTAAGCTATTCTATATGTGTTGTGTGGATCTTTCCAATTTGGCATGCCCTCCTTATACTGTGTCCAGCACTTTGGATGAATAAATCCCACTTCACAGAAGTTAAAATAATATTGAAATCCTGTCAGCTGGGGCTGACCAGTGGTTACGTTTTCCACAGGGTAATGCATTTGCAAGGACGTCAATCTCATTCCGCTGTGTGGCTCTCTTCGATGGACACTTTTCCACAATGGTAACAACAAGCAAGGCACATTCTCATGCTTTCTGTGGGTCAGTGTCCTTGGCAGGTCTTGCAGCACATCTGTCTGAAGTATGCTCGACTGCAGAACTTGAACTTCAGCACCAGTGGACAATATGCCACTTTGTTCACATCTTTGCACTCTAATTCAGGATATTAAAGAGAAAAAGAATCAGAAATAAAAATTAAACTACAAAGAAAATTTAACATGCTTCTGCTCTACCCATCCACCTTGCCCTCTTTGTAACTACTCTTCCTTAATCATCTTAGTGCATACAGTATATTTTTAAAAGCCATAAAATCATTTGCAGGTCTTCTCTCCCAGAAATTCAGAAGTGTGCCCAATTTGTGTTGAAAAAAACAAAAAAAAAAAAACAAAAAACAAAACAAAACAAAAAAAAAACAAAAAAAAAAAACATTTTTTGCAATAAGTGACCACTTTAGACAGCTAGGAAACATGAGTCTTTTTTTTTTTTTAACAATACTTTTATAGCTTCTTTCTCAGGAGTTATTTCATTCATCTGTGAGAGGTTATCCAAAATCTAACACAATTCACAGTATTTGGTACCATGCCTGTGCATTTGTAAGAATCCTTGAAATAGTATAAGCATTGCAGTGAACAGGGATGGAGAAAACAAAGAGTGTTACAAATCAAGGCACCAACACTGTACGTTCAGCAACCTGGCCAAACGTTGTACTTGAGGCTTGATTCCATATGTCCACACTTTCTTTTACGCAGGAAAAAAAGGCACTTTTATGCCTGTAATAGGCATGCAAGAGGTTTTTTTTTTTTCATATTTGCATTTTCCCTGTATGCTGGGCTTACTGCCTCAGCAGCCCTTGTCATACTGGCAGGTAAGTGTCCCAGGAAGGGAACAAGAGCTCTGTCACATGGAGCAAGGATTCCTTTCTTTCCATCCCACACCAGATGTATCTGCAGTGACTTGTCAGTGCTCACTACAGGAGCACTGCAGGAATATGCAATGGTTCTCCTGTGGCTCAGTTTCCATTCTGTAGAAAGAAGGTGGTAATAGGGAATGGAATAGTTTGGTCTATACCCAGTTCTTAGTGTGATATGTAAGAGACATAAAGCAGTATCCGAGAGCTCTATTTTACACTCAGGTTCTACTTCTCAGACTTTGCTACTGCAGATTTGCTTTTCATCGGAGTAAATATTGTGGTAGGTGTCTGATACAGGAGTTACCACTCCAGTTAATAGCATTTGTGTATTTTTTTTTTCCAGGCTGATATTAAAATAGGACTTTGGCAAGGAGCCTTGTTTTGTGGGTAGGAAAAAGGAAGAGATGTATACACAGAAAAAGCAAAACCCACAAATCTGAAATGATGTAGGAAGGATTATTTCAGAAAATAATTTGCCTCGGAATGCTGTAAGTTTTCAAGGTTGCATTCGATACTTCATTTCTTCTACAATCTTTCTCAAATTAAATAGGTATAAAGAAATTGTGAATAAAAAGGACTGGATCTAGCTGTACACTGAACATTATCAGATACTGTGTTGATTTACTGTCTAAAAGTGAAGACTTTAATGAAGGCCAGGATCTTGTTGCTCAAAGGCCTGACAGAACAAAAGTCCTTGAATCCCAAGTGTCCGCAAACTATGTATGAAAAAGACAACAGAGACACACAAGCCATCCAAGAAGTAATAGTGAAACAAACACAATCTGGACGTACAATCCTTCAGCTACTCCTATTTGTCTTCTATATACATATTTTTCCTCCAGAAAAGGTAGCTATGAGCAGTGGGGTTGAAGCTGCAAGGATGCTGTAGTAGAAAGTTATATGCAGATGAGACTTCTTAGTATTTGAACCTAGGAAAGCATTAGTGGGGCTGAACTCAGGGTCTGTACTTAATAGTACTTCTGACAATGCCCACGTGCATGCTTGTAGCTAGACAAGTAAAAGCATGAAATGATTTTAATTTTTATTTTATTAACTCACATATAGTGCTTTCATTGTAATTCTTTAACTACCTTTTGTTTTATACGCTATTTTTCTAATTTTTAATTCTCTATTTGAAAACAGAGTTGGATGTCAGGAGAAAACACATTGAGCATAGCTGTTTGAAAGAGGCATGTTTCTCCATTTGCAACTGCATGTGGTCACTACTTTATTTCAAAAACTCTTCCCAAAAGAGGTCAAATATATTCCAGAAATATTTCAGGTCCCTGTGTTTATTACCACTGAGAACACAGGAGAGAAAAGTAGTAATTTATAAATAAAATGAGGAATAAAAAGGTTCACTTGATCTTGATGAGATGTAAAAGTTTATTCAAACTCCCAAATAACCCCATACACATCGTGTTTAGTTAAATACAGGAAAAGCCACTAACTATATTTTTGCTAAAAGTAGGATTTGAAATTATCCCATTTCATGTTTCTTAATGTTTTTCTTCCTCTTGACTAAACCTGGACACTGTTCAGCCAGTGCCATTTGGACAGCAGTGAGACAATATCCTGGAAGGTGCCCACAACTTCTGTTTTAAATATCAGTTTTGAAATAGATACAGAGGTTGATGAAGTAGCCTATTCTTCACAGGACTGTCGTTGAATGGAAGAGGTTTAGCAGAGCTCTTTTTGTTCCTAGTAACTACTGTTAGCAAGTTTCAATAAACTACATATATTAATCTCTCCTTTCCTTGTCAGATCAGACAATATTATGATACCAAGTATCGTATTACAGTAATAAAGCAGAGAATGTCACAGTGCTGTCAACTAAAGAGACTGCAAAGGCTTACCACAAAAAATACAAGGGAAACTGAAATGACATAAACATAGATTAAATAGTTTGTCATGTAAAGTTTCAGGTGGCGTTTAGCAGTCTAGATTCAGCAGACATACATACTTAGAGAATAAAATCATTCTGAATACATTTCAAATCGTGTGGTACATGCTGTCTGGAGTGCAATTCCAGCTTTGAATGTAATGGTACTCAGCAGCTGCCTCAAAACCTTATCTACAATGTTCTAAATCTCCAGGGAAGAGTTTACTGAAAACAAAGAGCTAAAGGAGATGTTTAATGTGACAAGATACATGTTAATTTTCTTTTACTAATCCTATATCCCCAGAATTTTGACTATTATTTAATGTAAACAACCTGCACTTTCCCCAAGAAAGCACTTCCAAACTTTACCTATGTGATCATTATACTTGCTGAAAAATGTGCGAAAAATATGTACTTTCTTATCTTGGGTTAGCAAAACTAAGTTGTTCAGAAATTGATGAATGGGTCCCACTGGCTAGCACTAGAATTTTGGGAGTGAAGGGAACCAGGAAATTCACTACAGTTTGAAACAGGAAGGGAATTCACTCAGCAAGCCCAACCCTTCTGCAAAGCAATGACTGGTTGCTGAGGGTGCTTTTTCCCCACAGTGGAGCCCAAAGCACAACATAATAATTCTGGATGGCATGCAGACTAAGTCCCTATGTGCAGGCAGATAGGCACTGCTACATAGATGCACAAAGAGTTGTCAGCTTCTCTTTTGTCTAAGGATTTTTAAGGCCAAAGTACAAACAGAAAATGTGCAATACAGGCACATTATTTTGCGAATACTCAGTTTGTGCTTCTTATATTCAGTATTTAATAGTTCTGAAATGTTTATAAATTAGGATTTATATTTAAGAAATGATTACAAAAATATTGAAAAAAATAACTTGAAAACATTTTTTTGTCTTACTTTGGGATAAGGCACCCTTATTATTTCATGGATTGCAGCTAGGTTCTTCTGAAAGGATGTAGGTATTTTAAATTGGTAAGTAAATTCTGAGATTTACTTCTGAGCCATTTGAGCCACTTAACCACTTACAAATAATCAGTGGTTTCCAGTAAAGACCTTCAGTGTGGGACGAAAACAAAAATGGGGTGCTAAGTGGCAATATGACTGTCTTTCTATTGGACAAGATTGTCCTAGCATCTTCTTCCTTTTAATTACTCCTAGGATTTATTTGCTCAAGTAAAGTACCATGCTAATGATGCTGCATAGCTGTCACTATGGAGCTGGCCAAAGAGCTGAAGTCCAGCTGGAATACCATGTAAGCGTTTTTCAACTTTTTTCATTCTGTGGATCCCAACAACGTTCCAGTGAAGGTCTGGGTCTCTGGAAAACACTACAGCCAACAGACTTGCTTTTCATAGCTACCCTGCACAGCTCTTCTTTAAATAAGTCCATGAACATTAAGTATCCATATATCTCAGACAGAAAATCCCAGACAGGAAAAACAGATCGCCTTATTTTCCCGGTGTTAAAGAATTACTAACGCAATGACTTGACCTTTTCATCTTGAAGAGGAGACTAAGACTTAATCATGCACACTTAAAAATATTTTACTACCTTCATTACTTTGGAAAAAAGACAACTTCTGTGTTTGGAAATAAAATAACAGCTAGCTGTTGAGCTTAAAGGAGAGGAAGTTTCCTACATTGATAATAATTGTCTAGGAATTACTTAAGAGTACTAAACATAGCAACGGAAATTAAAGTGACCAAGGAAAACTCTATTATGATGATGTATTTCTAATGAAAACATGGGATGATGAGTGTCTATTTAAAATTAAAAACTCCAAGTGAAAAATTGCTCACAATCAATTATCAGTGTATTTCTAGGAAGATTTTAGTATTCTCTCTTTCATTAAGATGTCTACATTGACAGACTTTTATGACAATTTTGAAGCTACGGTGTGAGCCTAAATGGATACAGAATGTTATTACATGAATGTCAAATAAGGAAAGACTAACCTTTTTTTCCTTTTTTTTTTTTTTTTTAAGTAAAAATCTGAGCACTTGTTCCATATAAACAGGACATCAACCTACAGTACAGTTGGAGAACCACTGCAAAAGCCACTCCATTTACATTAATTATGCTAAAGGAGTAGTGATATTGAGATTGTCAAGTGAAGCACTCACAATTTGGGGAATACTTCTTTTAAAAGAACTACAATTGCTGTGCAATGTTTCGTGATTTCAATGTTTCGTGATCAGAGGTTGGACTCGATGATCTTGAGGTCTCTTCCAACCTAGAAATTCTGTGATTCTGTGATTTATTATGATGATCTTTGACTGCTTTTTCCCTTCCACACAAAATGGAATGTAATCATCTGGTGAACAACTATTCTAGATTTTTATGATCAGCAAGGAAACTTTTTGCTGCCTAGCACTCAAATTCTACTTTGAAGACAGAATTTCCCAAGAGGTTTACACGGGGAATTTATGAGTCCAGACCTGGAACCCTTCATAAACATTAACACACTTATTTTGACATTATTATCTAATATATCTGTAACATAAATTATGTTATGATGAAGACAGATAATACTCTGATTAAATTAGTTTGTATTGTGTAAACATACTGAAATTATTTCAAACAGGCATTATGAATTCAGGAAATTTAAAGTTAATTAGAAGAAGCTGATAAGTCAGTCAAAGTATAAAAACAGAATTGTTACACCATGTAGCATTAAATGTTTTTCAACGAACATGTGATTAAATAATTTTGCCTGCTCCACTGCTGATGGAGTGAGTACAAACTCAATGGATTAAGAAACATATCATGTTATCCCTGCTATCATGAACATTTCCATTCACCAATATAAAGACTGAAAGATTAATGACACAAAATGATAGCAATTTGTCCGTGCCTACATATGGTTTGTTTGCTTGTTTGTTTAAACAAAGAACCTGTATGTAGCATGTAGCTTCTCACTGACTTCACCTTTGAACTACATTGACTAATTAGACAATAATTGCAAAAAAAAATTAAGTCAGTCTGGGCAATGATATAATGTAGATTTCTAATAATAAATGAATGCAGTAATACTGACCACTTCACTCTTTCTTTCTTTTCACTCAGACTACATTATCTTAAGATGGCAAACTTACCTTCCGTGTTGGAAATGGGAGTACTGTCACATTTGCTTTCACACTGCTGCATTGATGGAGGTCTAAGTGTTTCTGGACACTCACTAGATGCTTGTCCGGTATATGAGAGGCACTGTACTGTTCGCATCTGTTGCCCAAGACCACATTGTGCAGAACACTAACAATAAGACATAAAAAAGTAAAACAACTCAGATTCAACTTTTAATAATAAAGCAAGACAACAGGAGAGCAGTCAGGAACAAATGTGCACATTTGCCTATGTACATACAGGCGATTTTCTAGGTTAATACAGATTTAGGATGTTTCTTTTCTGACAGTATACAAGCATTTGTCTTTCAAAGAAAATAAAACAGTGCAATGTTAGCTTCTTAAACTGCTCAGATTTGAGGTAAGAGAATAAAATTTACACTATTTCATATATCATGTATGAGGTTAAGTGCATATTTTCAATAGAGAAATCATCTAGTTTAGAACAAAGAGAAGAAAAAAAACAAGGACAACAAGAATTCAAATCTGCTAACAGAATTTTTCTAGGAACAAAGAGAAGTATCTTTCAAACAAAAATACTTTGTGGTTTCCAAACGTTTTTGAATTTCTGTATCTAAACAGTGGTTTTGAGACTTAGATCAATTTAAGATAAAAATGTATCTGAACAATTAATGTAAAAGAAAAGATGGACTGCAAATGAATTATACTGTAATACCACAAACGATTGTTTCCTGATTAGTTAATCTGCTGAAGTGTTTTATTTTCACTACAGGCAAATTTATCAGCAAATTTATAAAATATCAAGTTATACATGTAATTTAATAACAGGCCCTTTTATCATAATTAAGATTAAAAAAAAAAAAAAAAAAAGCAAAGAAACTCAGTACATCCTATTTAGGAATACTCAATAACTGGCAGCACCATTCAACCTGTGCTGTAACAATTTAGAACCTCAATAATTAAGCATACTTTATACAAAACTATAAAAAAAAAAAAATCAGTTCTTCGGGCTGCTATATACCTTTCTGTACAGTAAAATATACTAAAATGGCTTTGTATTTCCATGAAGTTTCTCAAATTAAATTCTTTATGTGTTAAAATTACTACAGCTTGCAACATTGCTGTATTGCAAATTCCCCTTCTATTAAACTTTAGTAAGGACTAGTTCATTTTTAAAGCATGCATATGGAAACTCATGCAGCAGAAACCAGATTATTGTCAACAAATCCTTTATAGTTCAGCCGACAATAATCACTCTGCACCATATTTCAATCTGAAATAAACTGATGAATAGCTTTCCCTTCAGTCATGGGAACCATCCCTTATTCATTTCCAGTAACACATTTATGCTTAGTAGGTGGTAGAGCCTGATACATAATGAGTAGGAGACTAACAGCAGTAAATGCTTATATGGACTATCTTACCTGTCCCCAGTCTCCAGTAACCCAGCGAGGAGGAGGACATCGACCTAAACTGCAGCGGATGCGGACTGGAGGTTTACTTTCCTCTTGGCATTGAGCAGCTGGAAAAGTTTTTAAAAGATCGCTGCTTTTGCACAGAACAATTCGGTGTTTAAATCCTGGACCACACTTTGGCGTGCACTGAAAAAATATTGGTACAAACAAATAATGAAAATTCCAGTAAAAGGTCAGTACAAGTTTTAAGAAATAGTATGGAGAAGTTGAAGGACATATTTATGTTCTTACAAATAAACTATAATTTTCCCAAAATGGTAGTTTTAAAATTATTAGAAACATGAACAAGCTGGCTGCTGACTGCTTTATTAAGTTAAATCTTTTATAAGTTTAATTTAATAAAAGTACATTTCCTTTGCTATTTATGTGTCTCTATTATTTGCTTTTGTACATGAAAACCTTTAGGTTAGGTTTAAGATAAGCACTTTGCTGTAAAGTAAAAAGCGCTGCCACATGCATCATTATTATGAAACAAACCTGAGTGCAATTATTTCAGAAACAAAGTAGAACTCAGTTCTACTTTTTTTTTTAACACAAATCTTGTACACCCTAAGCATATGTCTACTAGAAAACTAGGAGAAGGAGGGGAGGAAGAGAAGAAAAATCTGCCTGGCTGAAATGAAGAAAGAATTAAATATTGATGCTAAATAGAGATCAAAAGAGAATGACAATGAATATGTCAGGTCCGCCGTGTCATAATCATAACTTATTTTGGTCCAAATTCTGTGGAATATTGCATGTTTTCCCCCCCCAAAAAAATCAAATAAAATGCATAAAACCTTAAAGCAGGAAACTGGAAGCAAGTGCCCCTTCCTAGCTCAGTGCTTAAAAATTACTTGCATTCAATCTCCTCTTCCTGGCAATGGAGCATTCTGTGAAAGCCAACAGGAAAGAGAGAGAAGGCTGGAAGGACCTACCACCATCATAAGGGTAGTCTACAGATTTGTGATCAGTTCACTTTGAGAAACAGCAGGAGACAGAAAGACTTGAACCTCAGAGTTGCAGAGGGTTGTGTTCTGCACTTTGGGTGGTGCATTCTAAAACCTGAAATACTATAAAAACACAAATAGCAAGCTATCACCAGCTGAGAACTCAGGTCGTTAGACATGCTGAAAGAATGTCTTCTAAATAGAGGCCTTTGGAGAGGATATGTGGAGAAATATCTAGCATGTGAATCACTGTGTGACTTTGGGAAGAGGTTGGCACTCAGCTTCTCTTATGCAGCAAGACAGGCAAAAAGTCAAACTTCCGATAATCAGTTAAATAAATGTCAAAATTCAGTGTGCCTATGGAGTTTTATAATCCCAAGAATATGGTAGCAAATAAACAAGAGTTTGAGGATCAGCACTGGAGTTTAGGTGTATCTTTTTTCTAGTCTTGTTTGAAAACATATTTTTAAATCTATGTCTAAACTGCAACTTGAGGAAAATTTTTCAGCTACTTGTACCAAAAAAACTTTTTGGAGTTACTCGTAGTAAAAATTCCACTAAGTAAGATGGACTACACCCTGTACCCAGAACTGAAAGCAAAGTAAGGAAACAGGCTGCCTACAATAATACTGAATCACCAAAACCAAAAACCATCCACAGAAGTTAACACAAATGTATGTCTCCAAAGCATGTGAAAGACAAAATACCCATTCAAAGAAAAACAGAAAATCATGTTCCTCACTATCACACGCCTGTTGAATTTTTGACTCAGTGGAAGTCATGACTAACAGTAATGTGAATGCAAAATAAATTTACTTGTCTCTGATAAGGTTCTTCCCAAGAAATCTTTATTTTTGCTATTTTATTATCTAGAAATATACAGAAGTAATTTACAGTGGGCAGAAGAACTCACCTCAACTACTTCAAAGTATTAATTTTTTTAAGTTGATGTTACGCAAGAATTATAGAATCATATCACATCCCAAGCTGGAAGGAACCCACAAGGATCATTGAGTCCAACTCCTGGCTCCACACAAGACCACCCCAAAATCAGACCAGATGTCTGAGAGCTTTGTCCAAACACTTCTGGAACTCTGACAGCCTTGGTAACGTGGTACTGTGCCCACTGCCCTGAGGAGCCTGTGCCCATGCCCGACCACCCTCTGGGTGCAGACCCTTTCCCTAACCCCCAGCCTGACCCTCCCCTGTCCCAGCTCCATGCCGTTCCCTCGGGTCCTGTCGCTGTCCCCAGAGAGCAGAGCTCAGCGCCTGCCCCTCCGCTCCCCTCGTGAGGGAGCTGCAGGTGCCATGAGGCCTCCCCTCAGCCTGCTCTGCTCGGGGCTGAGCAAACCAAGGAGCCTCAGTCACTCATACATCTTGCCCTCTAGACCCTTCACATCTTTGTAGCCCTCCTTTAGACACTCCTTTAGACATTCACTAACAGTTTTATGTCTTTCTTATATACCCAAAACTGCACACAGTACTCAAGGTGAGGCCACGCTAGCACAGAGCAGAGCAGGACAATCCCTTCCCCTGATCTGACCAGCTAGCAGTGCTGTGCCTGGTGCACTCCAGGGTACAGAGTTGATCCTTTTGCTGCCAGGGCACACTGCTGGATCATGTTCAACTTGTCATCAACCAGGACCCCCAGATCCCATGGGACTGCTCTCCAGCTTCCTGTCCCACAACCTGTACATACAGCCAGAGTAGCCCCATCCCAGGTGCAGAATCTGGCACTTACTCTTGTTAAACTTCATATGGTTGGGGATTGCCCAGCCCCCCTAGTGTGTCAAACTTTCTCTGCAAGCCCTTTCTACCTTTGGCAGAGTCAACAGCTCCTCCTAATTTAAAGCCATCCACGAACTTCCTAAGTATGCCTTCAAATCTTGCACCCAAGTCAATTATGAAAACATGAAAATGATCTGGCCCCAAAAAGGCACCCTGTGGAAGCCCACTAGTGTCTGGCTGCCAGCTAGATGTAACCCTATTTCCTACAAACACTCTGAGCCCAACCCCCAACAGCCAGTTGTTTTGTCTAGCTGTATGCTGGACATCTTGTTCAGAAGGATACTGTGAGAAACAATATTGAAAATTTGACTGAAATCCAAAATATTACATCTATTGACTACAATGATTACATTCTGCTGGACAAGCCACTGTCAGTTTTAATATAGGTGTGGGTGTTCTTATAGAAACACAGTATCACAGAATGCTTTGGGTAGGAAGAGACCATCTAATTCCATGCCCCCTGCCATAGGCAAGGACAACTTTCACTACACCAGGTTGCTCAAAGCCCCATCAGACCTGGCCTGAAACACTTCCAGGGCTCCTGCCCTTCTCTTAAAGACATCAACTAATCTCTATGTTTACAAAATAAGTTTGTTTCTCTGTCCTACAAGATAGAAAATTTCTTGTTAATTAATTTATTGTTAATTACCATGTAAAGTAAAAAAATGTAAATATACTGATGCTCAACAACTACATTAGTATATGAAAGATTTTTAAAATTTATTAATTTTATCTAGTATTGCTTATTTTTCATATAAAAGCAAAGCTTTAGACCTTGCATTCCAGAGAAATGTAGCAAAATTTTCCACTGGCTTCAAGGGAAGCACTATTTGACTCTTCTATTTTCACTCTTGTTTTCTGTACAAAAACAGAGGCAGCATTTTCATGCTTCTGTCAGAAAATCATATAAATATATATATTTGAAGTATATTACTAATGGGATTTATATATATATTATCTTTCTAGGAACACTGAGCAGAAAAAAAAAGCTTTTTTCCTCGTTATATTAAAATGTTATCATCAGGCAAAATTTGTACAAGAAAGAAGTCAGCACTTTTTCACAACCAGATGCTTAGCAGAGCTTTTACCTTTAGATGAGAATATTTGTGTTCAAAATTATAACACATTACACCTCTATAAAAGGTTGGATGTGAAAGCTCTTATGTTGACATTTTCAACGATGATATAAGAGTCAGCAAAGTCTGCAGAAAGCCGCAACAAGGGAATGCTTATATTTGATAGTATTTAGAACATGTATGTATGGCTCCATAATTTGTCAAATAGATACTACTACATGTTAGTATTGAGACAATGTCCAAATATTCCAACCAGAAATGAAGTACCATGGTAATGGTCACAAAGAGCTTAAAACTATCAATGCCACAGATATGATGTGCGTTTTCAACTGAACATCCTTTTCTACTCATCCATTCTTTCCTTCTAGCTCCTTCCCCTTCTGCTCCTTCGAAGTCAAATTCATTCTTGACAGACTGCAATATGCTATATACTTTTTTAGATAAGGACAAGAACCATTTAAAATATTTTCTGCCTTGATTTAAATTCCCTATTTCTTGTGTGAAATGCCAGCCAACAGTGGGGTAAAAAAAAAAATGTTCCACATGTAGACCAAGACATATTTTAAAATTCACTGTGTCATTTCATGAAGTCCTGCTCTAAACTGATAAAAGCTTCTGAAATAAATGTTTCTTCCTAGAGGTTTCAAGATATAAAACTGATAACTTTTTATAGAATGGATTAAAAAATATATATCTGTTATGTTAAAACTGTATAGAACTAGAGACAGATCTGTGAAAGATATCTGTTCTATGATATCAAATAATTTACAAAACCTGGTACAAATAACAGGAGGTTTAGAACCAAAAACATCTGTTTGATAAAGTACCGAAAACAAAACAAAACAAAAAGTCAGAAGTTCACACTGTATTTTAAAAAAAAAAAAACTTTCTTTACATAGAAGTTCACTGAAATGACAATTAACTCCTCATGAAACAAAACCGAACAGTTGAAGAGTATAGCATAGTAACACATTTTCTTTTGTTCAAAGAAAAATAATGTACATAATGGAGAAAAAAGTCTACACAAGTAGTTTCTTCATCTGAGAAGAACACATGGAGATTATATAGGCATGAGATCCAGAAAGGAAGGAAATGAACCTCAACACCTTTTGTGGTAGCTCACAACACATGAAAATATTACTACTTTTAAGTTCTGCCATAATGTTTAGACTATTATTACTAATAATGAATGAAGACTCCATAATTGGAGGTGTCAAAAGCCAGCTGGACATGGTCCAGGGGAACTGATTCTAGGTGCCTCTGCTTGAGCAGGACAGTTAGGCAAGATGACCTCCAGAGGTCCCTTCCAATTTCAACTGTTCTATGAACCTGTATTAAAAAATATGGAAAGAGCTGATCAGTACTACAGGTATGGCCACTCAGAGTAAGGCTGGTAGGCCTCCTTCTTCGTGCTTTGAATTTCCAGAGGTTGCAATGATTTTTGGAGATAAAACTATCTGTGGATAGAAGAGATCTGTGCAATCACAAGCACGTTTATTTTGAATGAAAGACTCTTTTCAAGACAAGCAAGTATACAGGAAACGGGATATAATGAATCATGGGTTTATCATTGATAAGATTATTCCAGTTTACTCCTACAATTTTTTTTATTTTTTTTTTTTTCAGAAAGAGGAAGCATAAGATTTCTAACCTCTGGCCTTCAGTCAAGTGGTTATCCTCAATGGTGTTTCAGAGATGCTATCTGCAAAGACCTTATAGGATCAGTCATGCGACTGGATCTAATTCATATTTCTTTATAGTTTACTTAATGATAGATACTCATGCAACAGTGGTTTAATTTGTCGTGTTACTGAAATTACAGAAATTAGCAGCTAGCACAAGTAACTAACTGACCTTGGTGCTAAAGAGGTATGCTTTAAAGAAAGAACTGGAAACCTTGAGGACAAGAATAACTAAAATGAAGTGAAATTTGACAGTACAAAAAGAACCCTTACAGTTCAAAGAGAACCATTAAAAAACAAACAAACAAACAAGAATCTCTATTTAAACTGGTAAATCACTAACTGAAATGAAAAAAAAAAAAAAAAAAAGGAGGATAAAGTTATGGATGTACTAACAGAATGTAAGATAGCTTAACTAATCATTATGTGATGTTTGTGGAACAGAAAAAGGTATACCAATACACCATATCTTATAGTTATTTTCAGTAGAGGCAGGAAACAAAATAACAAGGCACATACAAAATCACCTTTGGGATAACATGTAGAAATACATATAGACTTCAAACTGAAACATGAAAGCACAATGTGATCAGGGTTAATTCCCTTCTGATGAATAATAGCTGGAAAAGAAGTAGGGTTTGTTTCAGATAACAAAAGCAAACATGTACAAACTGGTATGGAATTGGAACATTTCTTGCAATTCAAAAAGTGAAATTCAGGAATAATTTTCCAAGAAGCAGTATGACAGCTCCAAATTAATTATTTTTAAAACACAGTTTAATCCATTTATCAGAGTAATTATATTATATTGCTGCATTTGACAGCAGGGCCATAGACAGGAAAACCTTACTTGTAAATACTACAAAGGCTACATTGAGATAAAAAGAGAGGTGATATAAGAGTCCAGGACAGATGGATCTGAAAAAATATGGAGCCATTTTTGCATTGTGATTTGCATGTGATGGAGTACCACTCAAATATATCACTGAACCAATCTGTCTTCTTTCAGCTGCACTGGTTAACATCCTTCAGGTTTAATATTTGAATCACTATAAGGACTTATGCTGAAACGGAAATCACCGTATTGAACAAAAGATGCTTTTTTCAGTTAAGAGAATACTAGTTTTTGGGTCTGCCGCTTAGAGCATGTTGCTAGAAAAAGGTGATGCTTTACATGAGCATGGCTACTTCAGAAAAAAAATCTTGTAGTTTACTCTGGATTTTGATAGTATAATCCCATCAACTCTTCTCTCCAGCTATTTTCCCATTCAAGAAACAATGGAAATGCAAATTGACTTTTTCTTTAAGATCTGATAATGAAAGCTTATCTAGTTTTTATTTTTTTATTACTTTGCTATTCTATTTCATATTTTACTATTTTTCTATTATGATTAATAGCAACAGGTCATAATCGTTTGACAAAATAACAGAACTGCCAACACAAAAGAAAAGAAGAAAGAAATATGAATGACAAAGACTGCTTCAATAATCCAACTCATTCAGGTTTTGAATTTTTCATTAATAATTTACATTTTGAGCAGCAGTAGGAAATGTACCAATACTCAGTGGTCAGAGTTCTTGTCTTATTGAGTTTACATAGCAAAATTTCCTTACTTCTGACCAGTCCAAAGCGACCCACTGTGGGGGACAGGACTGATTGTTACAGGGTTCTTTTTCAATAGGCCGGTGTGTTAAGCAGTTGGTATTGTCCAGTGTCTCTTCCTCAGAAGGTCCAATTTTTCTGATGCAGAGAACTGTTCGTGAACGCATTCCTCCATCACAGGTCTTACTGCATTCTGACCAATCCCCTATAAACCATCTGGACAGAAAACGTTAGGAAATTCTATTAACATGTCAGAAATTGATAAGATAATTGCACAAACCCATAATCCAAATAGTTTAAATTACTAAAACTAAATCATTGTTAACAATACATCTATTCAGAGTGAAATAAAGTAGAAACTTAGGTTCTTTTCACTGAACTTTTTAATTTATGCCTTACTGCAATCATATCTTCCAATAATAATACTACTTCATATTTTTCTAGAGCTGCAATTTCCAACCTAGACTACAGTAGTTAGAAAGGACAGTTGATCCTGACAAAACTTCAGTTACTCAAGCAGATTTGCACTGGACTTGCATGACATTACCCATCTGAAAGTGGTTTGCAATTGGAAATGTTTGGGAACCACTGCAGTAGGTTAAAAAATATGTTATAAGCCTAGGTGTTTGCCTTTCTCATATCATTACAACAAAATGAAATTTCATCTCAGAATCAGTCTGAGAGTTAATTATGAATGCTATAGCATGTTGGCAACATGCCAAAAATGCCAGGTATGTCAGTTCCTGGATGTATACTTGGAGTGGCCTTGTAAGATGTCATTGTCTGAAGCCTCAGCCAAAAGTATTTGCTGCTGCACTTTGTGTTACTGAATGTATTCTATTATGAACCTGAATCAATGAAACAATTTTTCTTCTGCCAATTTTGAGCCCAGTAAGACAGAGTGATTCAAACATATGCTATATTCTGTCATTATCCCAGTGAAAGAGAATTAATTTGTGATTCTCAACAAACTTATGCTTTTACAATGCCAGGGAGAATTAAGTGGTTTTCAGAGCTTTGGAGAGGCTGTATTGTTAATTATTAGTTGATACTATGAGTTGCTCAAGAGTATTCTCAGATACCTTTTATGTTTATACTCTGTCACAACAGAGTGCTATTCACCTTTTAGGAAGAGAACTATGAAACAGCCCAAAAGATCCAGAGATTGTCCTGTATCCTTTCTTAAAATCTGGTATTTTAGGCATCACTTATTGCAATGTGAACAAACATAGTCTTTGCTGTTGTTCAGAAGCCTCAAACATAATGTAACTGGCATTCACTATATGGAGTAACATAGGTCTTTTGATTTTCATAGTTCTTGGTAATCACAAGAAGAAAATCAGAATTGTATTAATTAAGAACAGGAAATATCTGGCCACTCTGTTTAAAGAGTAAGCCTTACTGACTGACAGATTTTCCAGCCAAAATGATCAAACTTCTCAGGGCAACTATCTCAAAAGACAGTATTTGAACAACCTCTTTCTAGAATACTTGCAAAGTTACGGAATCAAGAATACTTTCTTAGGAGTTTGGCACTTTGTATTCACCCTGTGGGGACCATCAGGGTGAAGACAGATAGGGGATCAGCTGTTCTGACATATGCAAGTATATGCTTATATATGACTTACTACCCACTTTCCGAACATTGCTGAGTTGGTTTTTACCATGTTCACTGATTTCCCTGCTGTACTGAATGTATAATCTAGAATCATCCTGCTTTGTGTTTTCTTTTCTTTTTTGTTTGTTTTTGAACTGACATTTAAAGAACAAACCAATAACAAAAAACGTATGTCAGAGTAACTATATTATCACAATTTTAGACGTGCTATTTTTTGAACTATTAAATCACACAAAGGAACGGAAAGGGATTTGTTTGGTAAAAAGGAACTGACAAAACATGACCACTTCCCAAGTTCTGTTTTCAGGTACATGGTGTGAGAGTTCAGTTAGTGCACTTACAGCCACACTAAACAGTATTATACAAGCAGCATATGTGTAGGATAAGCACATATTTACAGATAAGCAGTGGGGACATACAGTTTGTAATAGACATATAGAAGAGGCCACAATATTTCCTTATTTTGTGATATCTACACTAATCAGCATTAATGATTTTCACACCCAGTTAAACTGTATGTACAAAATATCACTGAACTTAAGCTAACCAGAGCTTGAGAATGAATGAGGCCTGATACAACAATACAATAATGTACCTCTCATTTTTTATCTCAAAAAGGAACTCTTGTGCAAATGCTGAAATTATTTTCCAGTGCAAAATATCACAGCTGTTTCTAAACAGTTTTTGTAGTAAGATTAAGCTATGCTGTAGGTTCTTGCCAAATTTTATTTTTGAACAAAAGAGCTGCTGTGTTTTTAATTATCTTTTCAATATATAGCAAAAAGATATCCTTAAATATAAAACAAAATAGACTTAACCAAGTACGCACCTAATCCTAAAGGCACACAGTATTACTGTATAATGCTGAGAATCCTGAAGAAGACAAAGTTGTTTGATGTAACTATTACCAGTAATGGTTTGTCTATTAAGCAGTTTCTAGGTTTACCATTTCCAGTCTGAACACTTCAACCCAAATTTTAAAGTCAAATACGCAAAAATACAGTAAACATTTAGTATAATGGGAAAGTAAGTCTCCCCTCACCTCAAGATTCTTCTGTCATTAGTTTAAGAATGTTCTCCAGTTCTGTTCTGAGCACTAGGAACCACACCTTACACCTCCACCTTCAGAAACTGTTTGCCAGTATCTTTTTACTTACAGTGTCTGTGTTGCTTTGTGTAGTTTGAATGCCAGTTTCTCAGTCAGATCAGACCTCTTCTAGGATGAATTATGTTTCTTTCACAACTGATTCAAGAGGAACTAGAAACCATAACCAAAACCCCGAAACAAATAGCATCTCTGGTAGGACAGATCTCTAATGCTAGATCAGAATTTTAAGCATACTTGGTCAACAGGATTTATTATATATTACAACGGCTTTTCTATCTATGCAAAACAGATCCATCTTAGTGATAACTGACTTACTCAGGTGGGCAAGGCTCAGTGTTGCAGGCTCTTTGGTTTTCTGGAGGCTTACTGTCAGGGTCACAGTAATTGTTTTGTACAACAGAGTTGTCATCCAGTCTTTTACACACCACCTCTTGTTTCTGCACACCTTAGGATGGAATTAAACACCATTAATTAATCATTCTTACTCTTCTGCTTGTTGAATAAAAGTGTATTTCACCTGTTGATTATTAATCCTGCTATCCCTCTTTAACTGGTTGAATGCTTCAAGGATGTGAATTCCAATTGACTGAATGCCCCTGACCACACAAAATCTTTCATTTTCTTTTAATTTTAGGCCACCCCATTGAGAGGATCTTAAATTGCTGTTGTGTTCTAAAACAAAGGGAATATATTTATAGATTTACTAACAGATTGTTTTTATTTGTGTATTGCAAAAAAAAAAAAAAAAACAACCTCCATTTCCTTCTAACCTCCCATCTTGGTAAAAGACACTGATTTCCAAAGAAAATATCAAAATATCACCAAATAGAATGTGGTCACCCTTCACTGCAGAATTATTATGTGCTCTGGTTTAAAATAAGACAGCAATACTGGAATACAGTGTTGCAATTTTATATGTGTCATCCTATAAACATTTTCTTCATTAAAATAATAGAAGTATTATTCATTCGGAAAGATGAAGTTTGTCTTTGTGAATGCTCATTTTGCCTGGCACTCCCAGCTCCTCTCTCATTATGTTAACCATCAACAGGCTGTTCAGAATTGATTATTACTTCCAAAACATAATGGCATACCATTGTCAAGACAGCATTGCAAGGTAACACTTTAGGCAGATTTTCTACTTTTTACAAAACAGAATCTAAAGAAAGCCATTAAAGAACCATTGATATATGATAACAATGCAGCTCCAAGCATTGCTGAAAACAGTGGTACATGTGGCCTTCTCTCTGTTTTTAGAACAAGCTTTATGTTTGCTAGCATAATACAACTGTGGATCTGCAATTCATATTCAGTTCTTACTGAACACAAGTGGTCGTAGTACTGAAATAACAGGATTATTTGTACAATACAAGTTGAAAAAAGCCCTAAAATGTTCTTAAAAACAGAAGCAATTACTTAACTTTTTCCAAAATCTGAGATGCATACAAATAAAACATCCTGGCTTCAAATACGTGCCAACTTACTTTACAGCCTTGTCTCTTTTTAAGACAAGCATTTTATAGGAGATAGACATGTACTGTAATAAGATTAATTACACAAATGTGGTTTTCAGACACTAAACAGCCCACTTACCTTTCAATTGTTTCTTTTGTTATCCATTATGGACAAGAACCAAATCTTTGGTTCCTAAGATTAGACCTATATGGAACTTAGGTATTTATTTCCAAGTAAGTCAAGCCTAACCTGGAAATGCCTGAAGTTTGGCTAATAAAGCATACTGCTTAGCTACAAACAGAAGCGTCCCAGTCTAAGCACAAAAGCATTGTCTCTTCGACGTTACGAGACATACAGGATGTGAGACATATGTCTCTCTGACGTTATGCACAAAGAACGTGGAGAAGAGAAACCTCATTTTTCACTATAGTCTTGAAGATGGCATGTACTCTTTCATGAAGCCACAGATCCAGGAGCAGTAAGTTTGATCATACAGTACTTCTGTGACTGGTTAATTTAGTCACCTACATGGCAAGTCTGCAGTTTCTAACCCTTGGGTTATTTCTGTTGTTGTCCAATTACAGTCTAATGTAAAATGTAGAAACCATCTTGAGAGCAAGACCTGCCAGTGCTAGATGAATGTCTTCTTGCCACTGGACCCATGCGTCTTGCATCCCTGGCTACACCATGACCTGGAATACTTGTTTAAAAAGTCCTCATTTTCCCTACCTTTTTAGATTTTTTGACTATTCTTTGGCACACAGCTAGAGTACTTTTCTGGAGATGTAGTCCCAGTTGAAATCTCTTCATTCTGAAACTGGGAATTGCTATTTAATAGGCAACTGTCATTGCATCCTGAAAAATATAGTTACTACCACTCACACAAAAACAGAGTCTTGTTAATCCAAAATACTCTCATGAGAACCTTGCAGTCTGGATCCTAAGCACAGAAAAATGTGTAACCTCAACATAAATGTTCCTGACCAACAGGAGAGGAGTTAGACTCGTCACTAAACATCTCACTTCTAATGCACTGCCTGTTTAGCAGGTGATAACTTTGAGCATCAGCTCTCAAAAGCACATGCCACCTTGTCTCATTTCAAAATTATTAACCATACTGAGACCAAAGGTGCCTGCCTAATAATGGAGTCTTCACTCTACTGCAGTCCCTGAATCCAGAGCCCCAGCTTTACTGCTGGGGGAAAGAGATCTCCTTTTTGATTATACCTACGCATAACTTTCCCAAAGTAGGCCCTCTCAATCAGGTTACAAATGTTAGACATCGCAGGTTATCCATAAATATCATGATCATTGTAAAGAAAGCTTTATTTATGAAAAAGTTGTTAATATGAGATATATGTCTGTTCTGGTTTTAGCTGGGATTTAGTTTTCTTCCTGGTAGCTGGCATGGTACTGTGTTTTGGATTTAGGATAAGAATAATGCTGATAACACACCAATGTTTTAATTGTTGTATTAAAATGCTTACACTGAGACAAAGATGTTTCAGCTCCTTGTGCTGCCCTGTCAGTGAGGAGGCTGGGGGTGCACAAGGATCTGGGAGGAGACACGGCCAGAACAGCTGGCCCAGGCTGACCAGAGGGGTGTCCTGTAACATATGGGGTCATGGTGAACAATGAAGTGAGAGTGTTAGCTGGGGTGGGGGCTGCTTCTCGGGGTCTGGCTGGGCATCAGTCAGCGGGTGGTAAGAAACTGCATTGTGCATCACTTGCTTTGTCTATTCCCTTATCATAATTATTATCATTATTTTACATTCATTCTCTGTTCTGATAAAGACTGCCTTTATCTCTGCTGATGAGTTTTACCTTTTTATCCTGATTTTCTACCCCATCACAATGTGGGATGGGGAGGGGAGAGGTGAGGCGGGGAAGAGGGGTGAGCGAATGGCTGTGTGGTGCTTAGCTGCCTGCCAGTTAAGCCACAACAGTGTCTTACAGGTCAGCCACATAAACCAATTACCTGGCTTGTCTCATTTTTCCTTCTTTCCACATGTATCTGGATGCCACACCACTAGGCAACTGTGGATACCATTACATAGTGCATAAAGTTGCCAGACTGTTTTCCAATAGTATCTTACAAGCACAAATCTACATGAACAAAATAAAGAGAAAATACCAATTTCTGCAAGTTTTCAACCTGCACTACTTTTCAATTTAGGTGCTGTACATATCAGGAAAGTTCTTTTTTTTTTTTTTTTGCTAGATAGTAAGTCCATTTGGAGTACTCAAAAGTGCATGGGAGGCATTAAAGGTCCTCCTGAAGGACATGCCTCCCCACAGCTGCCAACTGTGTTAACACACACATTTCAGACAATCATCCATCAGGTATCAAAGATATTTACAATTCACTCAGAGATGTTCCACCATAGCATTCTCAGCAGATAATACTTTAATTACAAGAAAGTGTTAAATTCAATCAGATCTTATGCTATTAATTAAATAAGCTTAGCACATGGCAAGATACAAATAGAAATAATTCCTTCTGTATTTCTGAGAACCACTCTAAGTAATTCCTTTCATAAACTGCTCAAGCTCTGCCTTAAACCCACACATACTATCTTCTCTGAAATTCACACCTTTGACTACTACACTGATTTTCATTCCAGATGCATTAACAGCCAGTTAATACAAACCATGCCCAGTGCTCCACAGAGATTTTACTAGTGCCTTATCCAGTGATTATAACTACAACATAATATACTGATCTTCCCCATATGTCTTCTAGCACTGCATTATCAACCAATTTCATCAGAGCTTTCATTCTTATTTATGCTACCATCAGAACAAGAAAAACTGAAATCTGATGACAAGTCTTTAAGATGCCCATGAGGTTCAATGCCACTTGGCCCAGTACTTCACATTTTTAAGAGTGCCTCTTGTGTACTAATCTTTTCTAATTCTTTATTAGGTGTAGGTGACAAGAAAAGCCTTACAGAAGTCTACATAAATGGAACTTCTACATTTCCTTAGTCTACAAAATAATTTGTCTATTACAATAGATACAACTAGTCAAGCAAGACCCATCACATCACACTTAACCCCTTTTCTCACCAATTTCTATCTGTGATAGTCTATCATTGTGCTTAGTTTTCAATAAAATAAACCAAAACAAAACCAGCCATGTAATTTATTGAACATTGGTCAGGTAGCATATCACTCATAAAACAGCATTCACCCCTATTCTTAAGAATTCTTAATCCATGCCATGCAGATACGTTAATTCAGCTTTAAAATGTTCTGCACCATCTTGCCACACAGTATATAATTTGTGATACAAGAAACATAGGTATGGATTAAGGAAACTGTCTAATTGGTGTTATTTAAAATAGTACCTCATAAACACAAATAAGATTGTAAATTCAAAACAACAGGAAGAAATGGAAAAAGCTGGAATGCAATTTTTACCCAGACAACAGCTACAACTTATTTAAGCCTTGAGGAACTTGAAAAAAAAAATAAATTATCAACTCTATGAGTATATGGTCTCTCTCTAAATAATCTAAAAAGCATAGCTAAACAAGTTCATTGAAACTCTTGGGGGAATAATTACAAGTGGTTAGACAGAAACACACTGCTTTCAAATCTACAGATTTATAGTTTATAATAAAAAACATAAAATGTCCTCATAACTGGTCAATGCAATTCTAATAGAAAACAAAACTCCAGTGGTTTAGTGACCACATTCTCCAGAGAATTGAGATGTTTTGCAGATTTCAATTCACAAATAGTCTGCATGACTTTCAGCAGACAAATTTTAAATTACATGGAGCACATTTTATTCTTAAATTAAAATTGCAGGCATGTAAATGCTATATCTATTTTTAAAAGCAATCCCCCAAAATTGTGGTTTGCGATTGCAACAGTTAATTATAAAGATGCCAGTACCAGTACATAGTGAATCTTGCATCACAAAAACTAGTGCATGCTGGTTAACCCAGACATATTTTCTGAGCTCACTCATCAGATCACAAG